CAAACATCAAACATCAAACATCATCAAAGCACCTGACAATAGGACAAGAAGCAATGGGTGGAAGCTAATCAAGGAGAGAAGCCACTTAGAAGTGGCTTAGAACTGAGGAGAAATTTCCTGACATTTAGAACAATTAATCAGTGGAACAACTTGCCTCCAGAAGTTGTGAATGCTCCAACACTGGAAGTTTTTAGGAAGATGTTGAATAACAGTTTGTCTGAGGTGGTGTAGGGTTTCTTGCCTGAGCAGGGGTTTGGACTAGAAGACCTTCAAGGTCCCTTCCAACTCTGTTATTCTATTCTATTCTTACTCTAAAACAAAAACTATTGTAACATAACATGGTATTTACTTATTTTAATTTAGATAAATGTGCTTTTTGTCAAATCCCCAAAACACCAACAATTCATGGATATATTTTTTTTACTTTGAAAACAAGAAAACCTCTTAATTTATTTTGCCAATCAGAAAAAGCTAAGAAAAACAAACACATTAGAATTATGCTTTTGCACTTCATACTTTATTTTTCAATTAATAATTCACAAGTAGGGAAAATATCAAACTACAAGGTTCATTACATCACAATTAGTTTTAACGGCATGTACAACGTTTCGCTATCATGTTCTGATATTCTTTGTATACAATTGATCTATCAGCCTCCACCTTCAAAACACTCAAAGGACTGTAGTCAGCTGGGATGCAGGAAAGTTCAGGGATTGAAGAATCCAGTTTCTCCCGCATGATGTTCAAAATAACAGCATGAATTGGAGAGCCATAGCGATGGCCAACAATTCTTGGACAGTCACCTTTGCAATAGTGAGGATTGTATCTATGTGGTGCAATTATCCATTTGTCCCATTTTAATTGACTGAATTCCAACCAAAAGCTGTGAAGCTCACATTCATTTTGAGGAATGGAGTATAAGTAATACTGACTTATGTTAAATATTGGAAGTGGAGTGTTTTTTATTTTCCCATCTTCTCTTCTGTGACGAGGTATTCTTCCCTGTTTAAGGCCTTTCCTGGCCTCTTCACTGGGAACTGTGAAAGGACTCTTTTTGAGACTAGACAATGTAAAATTCCATCTGTGATAAGTGTGCTCACTAGTGTCAACAGTATAGAGGAGAAGAAAAAGGGATCTCTGTGCCATGTTGAAGAACTCATATTCAGAGTTGGGATAATGTTCATTTTTCAAGCAGGTGAAATTCACAGCCAAATGGAGGTTTCTTTTCTTGTCAACTATCCAAGGGTGAAGAATAGTGGTCATATCAATCTCAATCCATTTGCGTCTATGTTCAAAATCCAGACTGAATACCATTGCATGTGGAACATCGATGCACACTTGGCTGGAGGCATCGCTTTCTTGAACAGCCACGTTGCAAACACAGGTAAGATTTGAAGCTGTAGGAACAGACTCATCCAGTGAGAACAGTAAGGCTGACTTGAGTAAGTGTTCTGAGGCAGTAACACCATCCAGGTTGAAAAACAGGTATATTGAATGAAGATCTCCTGCAAAGAGATTGAAGAAAAAAAAGTTTAAACAAAGTAGTCCTGCCCTCCCAGGTTGCTTCTCTTAATCATTTTATACTTTAGTATATTTGCAAATGAAAGCAATTAATCTAAGACTTCAGGCATGCATTTTTTTTGAGCAAATGGCAAGGAAGACAGTCATTTTAGGGTGGCAGCCATCTTGAATATCCATTTTTTTAAACCGAAGCCTATCAGTATAAAGCTTTGGAGAAACAATATGGCCACTACTACTGACATTTTACAAAAAGGTTATTTTCCAACTACAGCAAAATATAAATATATATTTAGTTATTACACTATTAAAAGGGACTCCAAAGATGTATCCCATTCCATTGTACATGGAACAACAAGCAAGACCACCCATATTTTGACAAGGTACAAAAAAAATAGTTAACCCAAAAAAAGGTTTTCACATACCATTAGCAGTGGGATGCTTGCATTCAGCATGTGGTGTGACAAGACGGACAGTGTTGTAGAGATGCCTTTTGTTGGCCTTAAGAATGCCTTCCTTGGTAGCAAACGTTTTATACAAATTTTTCATATACCGTAGGGCTCTAGAATCTGGGGGTGGTCTTGAGACATCACTTTCCAAGCCCTGGGCATCATAGTCAGACAGCAGCTTGAAAAGAGCAGCATGTGGGCCTTGGCCATTTTCTTTTGGAAGAACAAATGATGACGGAGATCTCTTGGACACCTGCAGCTCTGAGAGTGGTAATGGCTGAGAAGTCCCTTCATTTCTCAAACAAGGGGCACACAGGACCCCAGGAAAGAAGAACCTGTCCAAACAGAAACAAAGAAATAATCTTCTCAAAAGCTTCATGATGAGGATTAGTTGGGCAAGGTAACTATCTCCTCCATAACAGAGCAAGCCCTCCAAAAAACAAAAGAGCCAGCTCCTTCTAGCCTCTTAAATAAAGCTACACTAATTGGACACCAAGGAAAGCCGCACCTGATGGTGTCATCCTATTTACTTGGACTCCTCCCTTTCCATGGGACGGTTCCTTTTCACCTGAAGTTCAGTAAGGTTAAAACCAGATTTAACTAAAATAATTTGGAACATGTGGTGAAATGTATGCTGTAACTCTGTAACACTTTCCAGAAAGTAAGCCCATAGTTCAAAATAGGTCTTCCTTGTGGAAAGGGAGATTTAAGCTTGTGCTCAAGATTAATTAGTCTTGATTCTAAAACTACAGCTGTGCTTAACTTTAGTGCCAGATAATAGAAACATTTAATTTGATAGTCCTGTGCATGTTGAAGACACATTCACAGAATAGTGCTTGTTTGGGATGTGCTCTTCACTGCACTGGCCTTTCAAATGAAGACAAGCGTATAGAGAATAATGAATTCCTGGAGGGAGGTACTGTCCCCATTTATTTGTACCCATTTCCTGTGTTCTTATTCATGTTTATTCTTATTCCTGTTACCTTGTACACGAGTGACAAACTAAAAATAAATAAATATTATTACTATTGTCTAACTTGTTTTATTTTCTGTTCAGGTAAATAAAATGAACAGGCTATTCTATTTTTTTTTAAATACCTCTACAGTTTTAAGGATGATAATAATGATCCAGTGTAAAACAACTTTTCCTGCTTAAGCCACAATGAATGCCATGATAATTTCATTAGAGAGTTTTCCGTGAATGGAATGAAAGAAAAAAAAATGAATTGCAGATGTTGTTGCTTGCTTTTTTATTAAAAGAATTTACGATGGTTGAAAAAAGGAGGCAAAGAAATAGAATAAACAGCTTTCCAATCAGTTCCTCCAGCTGAATATTTTAAACTATTACTGAAGATTTCCAACTAGAGTCCTTGGGAAATCTAGCAAGCAAGCCTAACTCCTGAGTAACAGTTTCTACCAAGCACCAGTCTATAGTTAATGTAGAAGAGAAATCCAAAGACCTTCATAATGTTTCATTATGCAGCTTCATAATACAGTGACTGAATAGATAGACTGACTAGTTAGCTAGTGTGTTGTATACCAGTGTATGCCTTTTGTCTCCAAATTACATACTGCTTGGAAGAGTTCCTTTAAGGTCCCTTTGATGGAAAAGAGTTATCACAAAATTAAGACCAAAAAAATATTCTGCAACCATCCAAAACAGCATATGCAGTGCTTTGGAACTCAAGAATGGATTTCAAATCACAGTAAGGCCAAAAGTATTCCTTACTGTGAAGCTGTTAGCTTCAAAGGTACTGGGATTTTTTTTTTAACAGATCTAGAGCTTGATTTTCATACATTATAATATTTTTCCATATTTATTTAGACATACCTCACAAGAGCATTATGTTGTACTCATTCAATAATGAGCATTTATCATGCGATTTTGAGTTTTTAAAAGTTCAGTATTCTGCAGTTTTTTAAAAAAGTTTTTTTTAATTTCATTTACATAATGCAATACATTTGTATATTTGATTATTGTTTCTTTGGTATTTACACAAAAATGTACTGGTTAAAGGTTTATTCATGTTAAGTCAAATTTCTTATGACTATGGATTTATTAAATACATTTCTATCCTACTGCAATTAAAAACTCTCTCCATGCTACAGACATGTGGTAGAGGTATGCAGGTTTTTGGAAGTAATATAAAACTGGTTGCCATTGATCTCTTCCAGAATGTTTTTGTTTAAAATTCCAAACTAGTTTCAAGTTCTGAGTTTTCCTCAGGTGGGTGTGTAAATGGAATTCAGTTGTGGTTGGCAGAAATTCCTTAAATAATATCATAGTTGTGTAATCTTGAGTTTTTGTCTTTCTATTTAGAGGTAAGTCACACTTTGCTTGAAGGGTTTGTTCAGAGAATTATAGTCAGAGAATTAATCTCTAACCTTTAAAATGTTCTTTTGTGATATGGGGCTATTAAGAATATGAGCCCTTCTCCTCCAGCCTCTGTAGGTAGACCTTATGAGTTTATTACATTGTAGAGTCTGTTGTCTCTATGTATTCTTTATTACTAAAATTCTCAGGATTTCCAGATAACTTAATTCCAGGCATTATCCATGACAGAGGTCTAGAGAGAGGGCTTAGTTAATGTTGAGGAGTCCATTTGCTTTCAGTGGAGAAGGGAAGCAAAACTAATTGTGGGTGATGACACCACCAAAGCAAGTGCATTTTTTCTTCCCTCTTCATCTTCATGTAGGCTGAACAGGTAGACAGGAGAACAACAGATTATTTTGTCAGAATCCGAAACTGGCAATTACAAAGATTTCAGAACTTAAGAACTGCATATCACTTTAGCCTCAAAAGAAAGCAGTGGAACTAGAAAAGTGTGTAATCTATTATAATAGATTAGGAGGACTCTACCATTCCTTTCATCTTCCATTAATTTTAAGAGGCGTACATGATCAGAGAAGCTTGGCCCCCAACAGACTTTATTTAAAGAATATTTTACAGATACTTTTGTTGACAATCTCTATCAAACCAAAGGAAGGAAGCTTGTTCTGAACTAGCTCCTGGCTCTCCTAAGACAGTGGGTCTCAACCTTCCTAGTGCCGCAACCCTTTAATACAGTTCCTCATGTTGTGGTGAGCCCCAATCATAAAATTATTTTATGTTTTCCGTATTTTTTCTAAAACATGTGTTTTCCGATTGTCTTAGGCGACCCCTGTGAAAGGGGTCCCGACCCACAGGTTGAGAACCACTGTCCTAAGAGATTAAATTCTTCTCAGGCTCTGTTTAAAAGAAGTGATCTAGAACATAGCCTTTCTGATCTGCAGATATTTCAATAGTTCATTTAATGGGTCTAGATTCAGTTATGAAAGTCTTCCATTCCTTATTTTGTTCCATTCTAGTTCTGGGAAAATTTCTTCTGCATTCTTTACTCTGGACCTCTGCTTGGTTTCTGCTGAAGTTCAGGCATGACATGGAGTTAATAGGATTTTCTGATGAATTCATTATTTCCCTAAGGTATTTTCTTCTAGGTCTCAGTTTTGTTGCCAGTTCGTCTTTTCCTCATATAACTCTTGCCAGTATTGCCATATTGATGCCACTTTGTGTGTTCTGTTTTGAAGGGGGCACTAGATTCCTTGTTTGTGCCCTGTTTGTAAGATTGGAAAGTCTCTGTCTCACAATAGTGATTTATTCCTTGTTTCCTAAATTCATTAAGAGATACACAGTGATTCAAATAAACTTTCTCTATTCTTAGTCTTAGTAAACAAATCATGGTTCTTTGTCTTGTTAATCTTTGTATTAAACTTAGTTTTGCAGCTGGTGTCTTTTGATGAATGAAGAATGCTAAACACAGATTTGGTCTTGTAGCATTTGCTCCCCCCCCCCACCAATAATTTTAATGGCTGCTTCTACTTTGTATTATACATTGTTAAGTATTTGGATCAAAATCCCATCCAACTTTGCTGTAAAAAATCTTTCCTTATTCTAATGTTCTGAATGCACTTTGTGCTTGAATTCTGCCAATTGTGGAATCATTATTCCTTCTTCCTAGAAATGGATGCAGTTCTGCATAGGTAGGTCACGTCATGCTGAAAAAATTGCTTAATTTTCTTCAGTTCATAGTCCTTTATTTCTTGCCACCTTGTAGTATAACAAATGTCAGATTCTAGGAAAAGTCATTTTTGTCTTATCGTTATAATTCTAGCAGATTTCCATGGATTGGATCAATGGATTCTATTTCAACTTCTACTGATCCCTCTAGTGAAAGGTCTGGTAAATTTCATCCTCATATGATTTCCTGTCACCTGTTGATCCCACATTCTATCTCTATTTAATGTGATTTTTTTTTGGTACATTGTTAGTTGTCAGCTTGTGATACACAATTGTTCTATTTAACGGTGACCAGATTCTTGTCAGATAGAACAACCTAAATCAATGTTTGTTTAAAAAAAAATTCCCTCGGGACTTTTCTCACTTTTAAAAAATTATTGAAAACCACAAGAGATGTATGGGTTTGCATGGAGTATGTTTATTAATATTTACCATATTAAAAATTAAAATTAATGCATTTCATCCACTACTGGATCAAATTTATTTTTTTACATAGGCTGGCAAATAAATTTGATTTTGTGGACCTATGAGAGAGTCTGGAGGGATGCCCGGTGGTCCTAGCATCACTTGGAGGAGATGTTTCTTGGAGGAAGTATGTATGCTTATTGGCACTATTAGGCAAATGATCGGGTTATTGTGTAGGTATGGCTTTATTAATTTAATCAATTAATTGATTAATTTACATGACTGCCCATTCCAAGTACATGACTCTAGACAGCCAACAATAAAAAAACAGAAAGAGCTTTGTGGAAAGATCATGTTTATTTGTGGATTCATCTATGTTGGCATTTTGTTCAATCCCTGTGACATCAGGCTCAGTTATAAAGTACAAACTGCACACTCTAAATTATTCTCTTGACCTATTACCTGAACTGACAGCTGCTCACTTATTTAAAAAGCAGCAAATGTACACATCAAGAAAAATGTTTTGAGGTACACGCAACCATAAGTGATACCCAAGTGTATCAAAGTAACAGTAAAAAAAAAAGAAAAGAACAATAGAACAATTAAAAGGACCGTGAGAAGCATTGTGGGAGGCAAAGACTCCAATATGGTAGAACTACAATTTTTAAGGTAGAAAAGAAACTAGGTGGGGTTTAGATGGAACTCACCCACCACATGGAAAGAAGAACTTGAACAAAAGTGAGTACAGTCAAGGTGATGGCTTTCCCAGGTGCAATATGTGGCTGTGAAGGTTGGACCATAAGAAAGGCTGAATGCCAAAGAATTAAGAGCTTTGAACTATGGTGCTGGAGAAGACTCCTGCGAGTTCC